CAGAACCACACGTATTACATTACTGACTCTACTAGCGCTCAAATTCGAAATATCTCTCTTACATTTGAAAATATATACACACATCTATTGAAAATTTATACAAATTTTCTTTCAATTTGATCTATAGATATTCCGTTTCTTTTTTTTTCAATTTAAAATTAGAGTCTTGAAAATTATAAAAAATTATTTCAATAACAGCTCGTTAGATTAAAAATATTAACTTGGGTTTAAAAATATGTAAACATGTCAGATACTATTTATTAATTTTTGTTGTATTTTTATAAATAAATTATATATATACACAAGCAAAAATAATAAAATATTTTTTTTAACTATTTCGGTTTATGTTTATATAATTATATATTCTTATAAGAATCAGATAAGTTTAACATCCTAGAATTTTAAATGTATAAAAAACTTTTTATTATGACTATTTATATTTTATTATGATTATTTATATCATTTTTATTTTATGCAAAAATTAAAAATATGTTTATACAGATGAAATAAATTGATCAATTGTAATGTGTTATATTACTAATCAGGTACTGTTAAGTTACAGTATGAAATATATTTCTCAAAACATATTTTTTATAGTATAAATATAATATAACAAAATATAATAAAAATACAATAGAAAAAGTTTTATAGTATAAACAATACAGAGTAATAAAAACAGACCATTCAATTCGTTTTTTGTATGAGAAGTTTCATTTACTAATAAATAATATAAAATTTCATTGGAAAGTGAAAACTTATTCAAAATATTTTTTAATATTATTTTATATAACTTTGTAGCTTATTGCTTTATCTTTAAATTTATACAAATATATTATAATAATATGATATGCTCTTTCTACAATTATGTACAGTACATAAAATAAAAGTATATCTCTTGATTATGACATAAAAATCATGGACTATATTAAAATATTATATCTTTTAATGAAAGGGATATTTTATATTACACATAATGAAAAAACAGATGTATTTTTTGTATGATATTTTGTCAATGATGATGACCAGTCGTAATTAATGCAGGTAAAAAAGATCCTAATACTAAAACTAGTATTTCTTTAACTTTTAATCCAGAAGAAGATGCTGGCACATTTTCAGCAGTTGGTAGATGTGTATAGTTGCTACTATTTCTTGTCATTAATTCTGGTAAAACATGAACAGTTGCAACATATAGGAATGTACCTGCGCTGAATAGCATAGCCACTCCAGTTGCATTAACATTACTAAGTGTTTCTTTCCCTTCCTAAAAGGATGTATCATTTTACATTAGTGTTTAAAAATATATATAATTCTAAAACAATTTACCTTCCCAATACCAAAATATGTTACAAGAGCAAGACAAGGTGCTGCTAAAGAAAATACTAAAAGATGTCTACCAATTTTTTTCCTATCTACTCCTTCATGTAGTAAAAATGATACAAGACCAAATGCAGCAGGTGCCTGTAAAAAATAGTTTATTTATTCATTAAATACTTATTACATATTCATTAAATACTTATTACATATGTTCTTAACATTCCTTTTTTTAGATTTGGTCTATTTTGTTTACCTTGTGTAACATTATTGCTAAAAAAACAATTAATTCTACATCAGCTTGAGATGTAGTTGCAGCAGCTCCTAGTGCCACTCCATCAGCTGCTGCATGAACTACAAGACCCAAAGTGGCAGTGACACTCCTTTCTCTTACTCCACTTCTTCTAGCTGAACATTGATCAACTAGTAGCATAAATACAAAACCAAGTATTAAACTAATACCTATTAAGGAGTGAGGATCACCTAAAAATGAGAATGAAGAATATTAAGTTTTAAATCTCTTTAAATAAATATTTTATCACGAGATTTTATCGAGTATTTTAATTGCTTGTATATATATTTTTTTGCTCAAGAAAAACTAAAATATAAAAAATATTTTGATTCATTAATACAAATGTAAATATAAAATAAATGCAAAAAATTCATATGTTAACCAAATATAATAAACTACCTCACTACAAATGTTTTTGTGATATACTAACTGTGAACTTCTTGATCACTATTGCTTCCACCAGTAAACAATGCTCTTATACCTTCAGGTATAATCACAGCAAGCGCGGTGCCTACAAGAAGTCCAGCACCAAGTATCGAAACCAGTTGTAATTTATCCTAGAAAGATTAAAGGTTCATGATGTTCATGATCATGGAGGTCTTTGTAGAATCTGTAATCAGTAGTTTAAGTATATGACAATCATAGAAAATGATAGATAAAAAAAATTGTTCTTTTCATCTATCGTCAAATGAAAAGGACATTACCTCGGATAAATTCATGACTAATGGCAAAGACCCGGCTATGCAGGAACCCACTAACATTACCAGTGAAAGCATCCATAATACTGTATTTTCTTCCATTTTTTAAGATATATTTTTTGAATAAACGAAAAGTATTCACTTCATCGAATTAATACTTTCGCATTACTATTTAATATTAAACGAGAAGTTAAACAACTTAATTATTTTTTTTACAGCATTCTAACTAAAATATCATTTTTAACAGTGTTTAACAATCTGTTTTCGTCTACGTAGCAGTTTCGCGGTGAATACTGTGAGTATAGCAACAACATAGAAGAGAAGTTAAATGCATTGAAACGTGTTATAATGAGTAAGTTTTCATTGAGAATTCATTTCATGAAGAATAATGTTAATGTTTAACATTATTTCCATAATGTAACGAAATGAATCGATCAATGATAAGTCTATTTATTTAAGAAACAAGTTAATTTTTTATATTTCATGTATTACATAAAAACATTTCACTTGTATGAACTGAAGATAACATGCTCAGTATTCTGCGATCTTAAGAGAACAGGATCAACGAACTGAGATCTATATACATTAATTTTCATGGATATTATTTATTTGCATAGATGGCGTGTAAAGATTTATCTCGTGACTATGTAAAAAAATAAACAAACAACGCTTACAATTATTAACTAAAAAATGAATCTCCTTCTTGGACGTTTCATTTGCTTTATTCTGTAATTTGTCACATACGAAACGCCATTTTATCTAATATCTTTCTATCACAATTGATAATAGCAGTTGATTTCTTTTGATTTTTTAATTTGAATAATTTTACTAGATGGCAGAGATGTCGATTAACCGTGGCACCTCTAGCGGAAATATTAATGTACTAAACAGTAAGTGATTGGTAACGAGTTGAGTGAGACAAGTGATTAAAAAATGGCATCCGCGACGACGTCGCACAATGAGGTTTCACAGGAATTTTCTGTCAACAAACTTATTCGTGTCGGCTATTACGAATTGGAAAAAACTATTGGCAAGGGAAATTTTGCCGTTGTTAAAATGGCTACCCACGTTGTAACTAAATCGAAGGTAAGTTCATTGTTAACATTTTTCTCAGAAACACGTACACCCGTCATTTTGTCGTTATATCTTTGGATAACGGCATGGACATGTAAATCATGTCGTATTTTACGCGTTATAGAAGTTCTCTCTTTGATAATGATTTGTCATAACGCGAGAAGAACTAACACTTTCATAGAATGTTTCGCGAACCGATGTTACCAACAGATACTGTCGCATCGATTGAAATATGTTCGTTGGATGTTTTTTTCAAATCATTATTAATGATAATAGATTGAATATCATTGTAAAATGAAAATAAAAATACCATCAATTAACGTTCGTGTAAAAATTTATTGATTTGATATATATTCTCCGTGTAGTATTTTTTTTTTAAATCTATTTGCATTCATTTTGATTCTTTTTTATATGTTTTTTTCTATTTTTTATGTAATAATTAAATCAAATATTATAATGCTACAATTTAGTGTATCTGATACAATGCAATTAATTTTTATAATTCGGATTACATGAAAAAATACATCTCTTTTTTTTTAATAATCTTTTATACGCTTTAAAAAATTTGTAAATATTTTGTGCTAATAAATACATATGTTATTATTATTATTGCTTTAAATTTGTAAGATAACAAACTAAATTGATTGAAACGTGTGATATTATTTGTTTATACTCTAATACTAATTTAATCACATATATTTCTTAAGAGTTATAAATACACTTTTGTTATAGGTTGCTATTAAAATAATAGATAAAACAAAATTAAATGAAGAAAATTTAGCAAAAATTTTTCGTGAAGTACATATAATGAAACGATTAAGGCATCCACATATTATAAGATTATACCAAGTAATGGAAACAGAGAAGATGATATATTTAGTTACTGAATATGCTCCTGGAGGAGAAATATTTGATCATCTTGTAAGGAATGGAAGAATGCCAGAACCAGAAGCAAGAAGAATTTTTCGTCAAATTGTCCTTGCTGTTCGTTATCTTCATCAACAAAGAGTTGTTCATCGAGATCTTAAGGTCTAAATGCATTTTTTAAATATTTGAAAATTTATGAGAAACTTGAAAAAATGAAAGAAAATCATAGTACTCGTGTATTAAATAACAATATTTGTTTCAGGCTGAGAATTTACTACTTGATGCAGACAATAATATAAAACTTGCAGACTTTGGATTTAGTAACGAATATACTCCAGGTGTTCCACTTAGCACTTGGTGTGGGTCCCCACCATATGCTGCTCCAGAAATTTTTGAAGGAAAACACTATGATGGCCCAAGGGCTGATGTATGGGTATGTCATATTATTATGAAAATATACTGAAGTAAAAGATTTCTAATTATTACTGAAACTATTACTGAAATATTTTATCTATAATTATAGAGCCTAGGTGTTGTTTTGTATGTGTTGGTTTGTGGTGCATTGCCATTTGATGGACCCACAATGCAATTATTACGTTCTGTAGTAATCTCAGGGAAATTCAGAATACCATTTTTTATGTCTGCAGGTAAATGTACAAGTTTTTATATAATTCTAATATATTGTACCATATTATATGTTTTACTAATATATCAATTTTTTTATAGAATGTGAGAAATTGATTAGACATATGTTGGTAGTAGAGCCAGAACGACGTTTAAGTATCTCACAAATTTTAGCACACTCTTGGATGGGTGGAGATGGTATAACAGAACCTGAACCAGGAGGGTAATATATAAATACTAATAAAATGCTTATTTGTATTATAATAAGAGAGAATTATACCTCTTTCAATATATGTTTTTAGGTGCAGTCCTGAAAATGTGCCACCACAATTAAATCAGGTAGTAATAGAAAATATGTTAAGATTACCAGGACTTAGTCCAGAAACGTTATTAAAAGCAGTCCAAGGGAATGCTTTTGATCATGTATCAGCAATATATAATCTTCTTGTTGACCGATTAGAGCCAACAATGCCTAGTTTACCCAGTATTCAAAGTATACCAGGAGATTATGCTCCTGATGGAGCACATCAGTTAGAAAAGGTAGATATTAAATTTTTTTCTGCAATACATATACATATTGAAAATTACATTCTTTTTATTTCCTGTTTAAAAGTTTGGTGATACGGAAGCAGAAACGGAAGAAAGAAGTGGAATGCAACTTACTCCTGGCACACCTTATCACACAACAAGAAGACATACAGTTGGACCTGGTGATACAGCTCATCAACCACCAACATCATATCCTTATAACTATAATCACAATTCAGGCGATCCGGCATTACGTCTTCTTCCTATACTACAGTATAATAATACTGATCCTCAAGTATTACCTCATACAAATTTACCGTTAAACCTTCCTTTAGTTCAACATCAACCTCCTCAAAACTTTCAAATCAAAGATCAACATTTATTAAAACCTCCCCCTGTGATGGGAGCAAGTAAGTAATATATGCTATATTTAATTATTTTAACAAATCATTCCGTTTTTTAATAAACATTTAATTATATAGCGGGAAGTTTTGGAAGAAGAGCTTCAGATGGTGGAGCTAATCTTCATGTTTTCTATCAACAACATGGCAGTAATTCTGGTGGTACTGAAGATGGTGGATGGAGTCAACCTGGCAGTAGAGAACATTTACAACCTGTAAGAAAAATAAATATTAAAATAAAAATTGTGAAATATTTGATAAAAGCTTAATGTGTTTTATAATCAATATGTTCACATTGCATTTAGATACAAAGTGGAAGTCCAACTCTAGTACCATGTGCTCAATCATTAAATGTGGGAGTTAATACTGGAAATAATGATGCGAACGGTAGTAATACTGGAAGTGGAAGTGGAGGTAGTGATAGAAGAAGACGGAGCGGTGTTACTGCCGTCATGCAAAGACCAGGTACTGTAGATTATGATTTTCTGGTATTTATATATACCATAAATGCACTTTATTATATGTTCTATATCACTTCAACAAAAGTTTATTGTAATTTGCTACATCAATTAGTTTAAAAGCTTGCTATATTTCTTCGTTTCTAAGCTGTAAGTATTATTATGCCTTGTTTATATCTTTGCTTTTGGAATATTTGCATATTGATGTTTTTTTTATTTTGAGAGTTGTATAATAAATGATAGTTGTATGTAAATGAGAGTTGTATAATGCATGATAAATGTTCTTATCTGAAAAAATTTTATAATGTTACTATAAATACTATGATTATCATATTGTAATTATTTCTTACTATGTATACTATATACTATTTGTAAATATATTTGGATAATAGTTTTATTTTAAGTTTATATATCATTTTATTTAAACAACATGTGCACTTTATTCGCCATGTATTTCTTTATAGTGTTTCATTTGATTTTATTTTTGATTTTGCATGGTTTTTTTGTGTCCACTGCACTACCATGCCTCGTTGGTTGGTAATATGCATGTAGTTATAAATCCGGAAATGGTAATGGAGGTGGAAGCTAGGATGAATAGAGCTTACCTCCCATCACGGCTATTACCAACACATCTTAGAGGATCTACACTTCCACATCATAGGAAGACTTCATTGTATCATACTAGCACTGGTAATTTTTGTGTGGTTTTTTGCATTTTGTATAAATAGAAAAATGGATTATTATAGTATATTGTGTTGTTAATACAATTATGTACTTATTTATTTTATATCATTTGTACAAGTGTGTGATTTATATAATTGCAATAATTAAATGATACATTATCTTATTTTATTGTTTTTAGTAGGCAACAGAGATTCATATAAGGAACCAAGTACTCATGTCTCTACAGAAAGATATTCTCCCGTTCGGAGAGCATCTGAAGGTTCAGGTCCACCTGGCCCTGGAATTCAAGCACTTCAGCAAGAATATCAACAATTGCAAAGGTTAGCATCACCATCACACAGTCCCGCAAGTATTCCTGGATCCCCTGTACATGAAAGAGGTGTAGCAGCAATCACACAAGGTATTTTTAATTTTGTAATAACAAATATTTTATATACAAAAAATTTAAAAATTATACAATTCATTTTGATATTAGGTTTAAGTGGATTGACTACAGCAGCAGTACAAGGCAGCATAGTTCATGGTACTCCAACACAACCACCAGCAACACCATTAGATTTAAGTCCACTAAGACATCATAGATCACCAGCTACAACACCAGTTAGTTATTCACCTAGTAACAGTCCAGCTTTAGATATGATTCAAGAAGAACATCCTGTGGAAATACCAAGAGTAAATAACTTTCAAATATTGATTAAATGATTTTATTATTATTTATCAAGTTACTGCTTAATTATAATTTTTTATGTTAAAAATTATTTTATTATAATGATTATTATAGTACAATTATTTGTTCTAGGTACCACCTCAAATATCTGTAACAGATCTTGGGGGACAAGTAACACTAATTAGTTGTTCACCTTCACCATCTCCATCGCCTGATTCGCTCGAAGATACGTTACCTCATTATAGTCCTCTTCCCAGTTTCATCATCTCTGAACCCTGTGATCCATTAAGACCAAGTATCACACGCGGTATCGGTAGGCCACTCAATACGTCAATACCTACAGAAGTTGAAGTTACATTATCGGATGAATCAAGTAGGTTGAATTCAGAAGCTATATTAGGTCGTGTGAAACAAATTATAGATGCAAGAGCCCCTCCAAAGGGATTTGTCTTCTCTAGAGAAGAAGTGAAAGGTGGTGGGCTTAGTTTAGAATACCCAGGTGGTGTTCAAATTGAACTTAGAGTATGTGAATCAGAAGAGAAGGAAGTAAAAGGCATTAAGATGCGAAGAATTAGTGGGGACCAATTACAGTACAGTCAACTTTGTCAGCAGCTGATCTCGTGTATTACTGTTTGACGACAACCAGCATGTAATATAATGTTTTTCTTATATATTACGTTACATTCCTGGTGCCACACACACCACTCATTACAGTATTGCACATGCATGCTGTATACGTACGAGCGGTACTTTAAGCATACCATTTATATTGATACATTCATATATATAACATTCAATGTGCTTCATTTTTCAATATTCTTTTTTTTTTTTTGTTTTCTGAATCTGAAAAAAGAGGAAAATTTAACTTGTGCATAATATGAGGTGAGAACAGAACGTTACAATAATTTTTTGAAAGTCTTATTATTAAGACTTTAGAAGATATACATGCTTTTACGCAAGCAAAACGATGTTTTGCTACTTTTAAATCTAAGTATTAACAAACGTGGACGTTTTTCATAAAACTTTAATCGTTAATGTACATCATACATCATTCCTTTTTGTAGAATATTTGTCTTCATATTAGAAGTTTATAGCTAGTAAATTCATATTTTATTGTTCAACTCATCATCAGGTGCCCTTTTTAGCTTAGGAAAAAGAAAAGCGTCTTTTGTACCGAATTAAATGGCAAAATATAAGCATTTTCATGATATATATGTCTTTCTAATATGATAGAGATGTTTTATATGGAATTTACTATACTTAATCAATTGCCATTGCAAACAGTTTTAATTTCATAACCTATATCCATGTTTGTTTTACAAATACTGCAATTTTTTTCTTTTACGTTATTGGACTTAGAAGAATTGCCTTCTTGTTTCTGGTACAAATGTCTTCTTGTTTCTGGTCTCTGTTGGATAATTTAATTTTAATAGCTAGAGACATATATAATCTTTTGTATAGTGCAAATACATTATTGTGGTTTGTAGTTTAAAAACTACACAGACTGAATTATGATTGTATATCTTTCTTTTTTTTTAAATTGGTTAATTCTTGTTGCAATTTTTAATGGTATAATTACGGATTATTGATTTTTAAAAAAGTGAAATCAGAATAAAGGAAGTGTACTTTCCAATGGTTGCACTTATACAGCATTTAATTATTGTCATTTAAAAAGGAAAATATGCAACCTAACTCTTCTTGTGTAACCAAAGAGTTGAGTTGCTTTCATAGTATCAAATATGGAAGGTACATCTTTTATTCGTATTCTAAAAACAGAAGGAAGATATAAATACTTATAATAATTTCTAGGTAATAAAGTTCTAATTAAATAAAGTTCTAATTAAACTAGCACATTTTTTATCATTATGTTGCAATGATTAGATAAAAGACATTACATTAGTGTCATATATGTGAGAAGTAAGAGATTTAATTCACTTAATATAAACAAAATATTTTTCTAAATTCATTTGTTGTGAACTAAACAAAAGATAATGTGTAAAGAGATATTTTTTGTTTATAGTGCAAAGTATAATGTTTTTTTTATAGAACACAACTTGTATATTTTAATTTATTTTGTTATGTTATTAGATGTATGTATCTTTCTGGTAAAGAAATACTTCAGTAATTTAACATATTTATTATTTCAATAAGTTCAGTACTAATGTCTAATTCTAGTATCTTTCAAATTTGTTACAAATATTCTATAATAAATATAATATATATAATTCGACGAATAATTTATGTATGTACAAGTTGTGTTGTATATTTTAAATTACGAAACATTGTACTTGATATACTGATATATTTTTTATTTGAATATTCCACTTTAAATTACGAATTGGCTTATATTTATTAAAAGTAATACTTTTATGTTTCTGTAAATAATGAAATTTAATGTAAATATATGATATATACTATTTAGAGATTTCTAAAGTATACATTATACAGGCTATTCTATTTGAGATAACTGTTTTTAGTTCATGAAACATTTATTGATGTATAATTATTGATGCTGTATGTTTTATTATAAAATCTTTTGTAGAAATGTATATATATATTAACTGTACATTCAAATAATATATTGAAAGAAAAATTGAGGATATGTTTTCATATTAGTTTAAATCAAATTGTAAAGAAGTTTATGCATATTAAAATTATATAAATAAATTAATTCATTAGAGTTAGTCAAATCAGAATAGCCTATCAATATTATGTAATGCCCAATTTCCATTGAATAGTTTATTAAGTTTTATCATTTTTAAATTTTATTTTTAGATATTTTAATCAAAGTGGAAACCTTGTAATTTGCACTTAGATTTATAATGGATATATATCATTAATATCATGATGTATCTTAATAATTCTTTAAAGATCGTTCAATTTGCAATTTTTTATTAACATAAGTGATATATTTCATTATAAATCGTTGCTGAATAAAATTTTTGAATAATTGTTAATATATTAGGTACATGTAAAAGTATCTATATTATATAAATTAAGTAATTCATATATCGCTGATATGTGAAATTAGCGAGATTACTCTTTACATCTATTGCAAGGATATTTTAAAGCAGTAATTGATTTATACAAAAAATATTTTTTGCCAAATAATGTTTTAATTTTTTTTTAGGTTTTTTAGGCAATTTTGTATATAACAGTAATGTTGTTTGGGTCTTCCTTATATATTTTATTTCCGTATAAATTATAATATTTGAATGCATGCTTTTATCCTTGTACATTATGATGTTATGTATATTTTATGTGAATTTTTAAATCAAGAATATCAAAATCTAATGATTGAAAATTATTTTAATCATTTTCAGCTACCGATTTAAATGTACGTAATGATTCTCACAAAAATGTGGAATACCAAAAAGGTTAATAATTATTTTTTATTTTAGCTGAATGTTTGAAATTTATGATTGAGAGTGCAATTATGTATAAGCAAAAAAATTTTCTATTGATGGAAAATGGGCAAAAATACTACAATTACGCACAACAGTGAAAGTGTAGATCAACATAATTGAATTTATTGTACATAACACATATACATAATTATTCATTTAGGGTACATACTATGTGTATGTATGCAGGAGCAAACTATGTACATTGTAAACATTTGCTATTATGGATAGGATACAGATAGTATTTTCTGCTGTCAATTCTTCAACTAAGACTGTGATTTTTAAATATACTAATGGCTAGGTAGATACAATACATATTGATTGAATATGATAAAATAAAAATAAAAGAGATATTCAAGACATATGCATTTTTAATGTTTCTATTCATTTTGTACAACAATAAATGGATTTGTTAATTGTGTTATTTAGTATGTACTAAATCTCAATCGTGTGATATTATAAGATCTTTTAATCTTTTAATTATACCTTAATATTTTAAATTACACTTTAATATTTCAAAATTGTATATCATGAGTTTTGTCAGTTTTTCTTCCGTTTGAAATTATGAATATTTCCCGCCTTATTTATGTTGACACTATCGACTCTGTTTTGACACTATTTGATCGATTTTTGTGTCGTGCTGGTGTAAATAAATTAATGAAGAGTATTCTATTATTATTATTAAGATTTTTTAATTATTCGTGATAAATGTAAAAAGAATCAAGTGTGAGACATTAACATGAAATGTTTAAGTATTTTTATATGAATTAAATCGAGAATTAGAAACAGTTGGGTAAAAACATATTTCACAATATTATTTCATTAAATGATTCATTTAAAAAACTGTTTTTATCTGTTGCAAAAATTGTTATTTTGGTAGACATTATATTTTTTTATATTTTTAGTATTTAATCTTTATTTTAATTTAGTCACCTAACCTATATATTTGTTTTTATATATTTTTACGCTTATTTCTAGATAAGTAAAATCTTTCTTTCTTTAAAGAAATTAATTGTACAAAATGGAAATCATTGAACTTGTTTCGGATGATGAAGTATCAAAGGATAATACAAAAAAAAATAGAAGTTCCAAAATTGGCAATACTAATTGTATAAATTTTCAATGTTCTTCTGGAGTAGATATGAAATTAGCACCTTCTTTTGCATGTGCTTTTTATGGAGTAAATACAGAGAAAAAGAAAGAGCGTATGATATGTACAAAGTGTTTTAATGCTGCTTTAGAACACCAAAAGGTTTGATTTTTAAAATAATTATTGTTAATTGATGTATTATTGTAAAGAAAATTTATTTTTATTCTGATATTAATTTTATCAATTAATTTAGCAATTGGTCACAGCTTTCGTGGATCATAAGCCATTGTTGAACTGTGAATTTCCAGACCATACAATGGAAGTAGAAATTTCTGATAGTGATGATTCAGATGATGAGAAAAAAAAAGATACACGTAATGAGGGTAAGATATTATAATGAATTAAGTACATTTAAGATATTGATACTGATGTGATATTTGTGTTTTAGAAAAATATTTACCAGAAGAAATGCTTTTGGATGTAGAAAAAATGTTAGATAGCACATTAAACAATATTTTTAAGAAATATGATGTTGATTATCAAATTAAACAAGCTCATAGCATACTAAAAGATCAATGGAATAAAATAGATGGTATATCATTATTTTAGGTTTAAGGGTATTTCATATGTATTTGTATATATGATATTTCATATATGGTTGTAATCAAATAATTTTTTTTAAACAGAACAAAATGAAATTCTGGATAAAACAGTCAAAGATTTAATGCGTACTATGGATACATTACGTAATAACTTATATGATGAATTTAGACCACAAATTCAAATGTTGCAAGAACTTCAGATTGATGATGGATACATAGATAATGGTCTTTATCCATTAGTAGCAACAAAAAAAGTTACTCAAGTAAGAGTTCTTCCTTCTTCAGTTTTACAAGATAGTCAACCAGAAGTTTTACCAATTGAACAAGATAATAAGCAAGTTGTGGTTCTGGATTTACCCCCAATTGGTCCAATAGTAAGAGCGCAAATAGAAGTTGATAGCATTGTATATATTATGAAGCATCCACTTATGCCATGGATTAAAGGAAAGGTTTGTAAATATATTTTTACTTGAATTTCATTCAAATAGTTTTGTATTTAATTTGCTCAAAATTTTATTTATCGTTCATAGGTACAAAATGTACTCTCTAGAACTCCCTTGCATTGTCGTGTAAGATTATTACAAAAGAGATATAATTCTGTTGTTAAATCTGTTTCTGGCAAGCAAATTGCAGCTGCTGTAATTAGTCAAGTAATAATTCCAGTTAGTACGCGAGTAGTTGCAGTATTTAAAGATGTTTCATCTAGTAATCTTTATAGTGGAGTTATAGCTGAACAGCCAAAAGCCACAAATAAGTATAGGTATACTTAATAGATAATATTTTAAATATGTTAACATATAAATAATAAGTGAATAAAGTAATAATAAATCTATTATTTTCTTAGGTATTTAATATTCTTTGATGATGGATATGCCCAGTATGTTGAGCACAAAGATATTTATTTAGTTGCAGAATTTTCTAATAAAGTTTGGGAAGACATACCTAATGAATCTCGTGATTTTGTCAAAAAATATATTGAAACATATCCTGAAAGACCAATGGTAAAACTACAAACAGGTCAAGTAGTAAAAACGGAATGGAATGGTAAATGGTGGATTGCAAGAGTAGTTCAAGTTGATGCAAGTTTAGTACAAATGCATTTTGATGCTGATGGAAGAACAGAATGGATCTATAGAGGTTCTGCTAGGTTAGGACCTTTATATCTTGAACTTTTAAAAGCTAATGCCAGACAACAAGGACATCATGCATCTGTCAATACGCCTAGTCGACATCGACTGCCTGCTATCTCTAATGTATGTGAAGTATTTCACTCGTTCTACTTTTTATGTGTAGAATATAATTATCTAATGTAAAACTTGCTAATATTACAGAAAAACAATTTACCTTATGTGGAATATACATGTAATCTAGAGTCTGAGGAAGAAAGACTTTCTCAATTAGAAAAAGAACAGAATATAGCAAATGAAAGTACAAATGCATTATCAAATGTACCGCAACAATCACGTGCTGTTGCTAGAAAAAGTACCAGTAAAAAACAAAATATTGTGGATTCAAGTCTCTATAATCCTACGACAGAAACAAAACCTTCTCACAGTATAGTTGTAAGTGTATTGAATAAAGTAATTATAATTTCCATAAGAAAATTCAAAACAAGATATAAAATTCAGAAATATGTATTATTACCTTTATTTTAGTACTATCAAACATTTACTTTATTTTAGTACTATCAAACACAAAACAAAATTCAAACAAAGAAATTTGTTCCACATAATTGCGGCCCTCAATGCGTTCAAGGAATATCTTTTACACCTGATGACTTACGAGGTTATTCACCTCTTTCAATACCATTACTCTGTGGTTGGAATAGACAACTTTGCAAATACCCAAAAGGCAAAAAAATTACATTGTATCAAGCTCCGTGTGGTGTTAGGTTACGAAATATGGAAGAATTACATCAGTATCTTCGCAAAACAGGTAGTCCGATGTCAGTTGATCTATTTGACTTTGATTATTGGGTGCATTGTCTAGCAGAATTTGTTTTGGATAAATGCTTTATTAACATAAAGGTAAATAAAATCTTAACATTATTGATATAATTAATATTAATTATAATTCTATACAATTCTATACAATTAAAATTCTATAATTCAATTATTCTTTTTTTAATTTCAAGGATCTCAGTTATGGTGTAGAAAATGTACCAATACCATGTGTTAATGAATTAGATCACACTCAACCAGATACCATTAGATATAGCACTCAAAGAGAACCAACAGAAGGAGTTAATCTTAATTTAGATCCAAATTTCTTGTGTAGTTGTGATTGTGAAGACGATTGCCAAGTATACTTTTTTTTTTATAACAATTTAAATTATAAAATATTTAACTAAATTACTTTATAGGATAAAACAAAATGTCAATGTTGGCAATTAACAATACAAGGTGCTACTCTTGGAGGAAGAGTGCCAAATACATCTGTCGGTTACGTATATAAACGTTTACCGGAGCCTGTTACTACTGGAATTTATGAATGTAATTCTGGATGTAAATGCGCTGTAAAAACTTGTTTGAATAGAGTAGTGCAACATCCATTAACGTTAAAATTACAAGTATTCAAAACAGCTCCTCGGGGCTGGGGTATACGATGTTTAAACGACATTCCTCTTGGATCTTTTATTTGTATATATGCTGGTAGATTACTTACAGAACAGGTAAAAAATTGTAATAAGATTTAGCATAAATAGTATAAATTATTTTAAGGAACTAATTACTTTATTTCTTATTTCCAGGGAGCTAATGAAGGTGGTAAAAATTATGGAGATGAATATTTAGCAGAATTGGATTACGTAGAAGTAGTAGAAAGTATTAAAGAAGGATACGAAAGTGATGTTCTCGAACCAGAAATGCCATTATCTACTCAAGAAGATAAAAAGAAATCTATGACAAGTGATGATGAGGATAATTCAAAAACAAATGCAAATGATTCAGACGAAGACTTTAATATTAGCAAATACGTGAATTTCAATGTAGATTCTACAGAACATTCTTCTATTAGGTAAGTAAAAAAGATTAATTACGAATAAACAATATAGTCCATATTGTAAATAAACATAATGACGTAGAAAGAGATTAAGAAAACGAAAACGAGATGATGTCAATCAAGATGGGTCTGAAGAAAATAGCGAAGATGGAAGTGCTACTAAGACTACAGAAAACATTATGAAGTCTTCCACTAACGAAAACCGTTCAAATGATCCAGATGCAATTACTATAAGCGATGAAGAAGAAAATAGAAGTGGTAGACGTGAACCAAGTAGGTTTGATCCAACAGTGGAACCAACGCAAATAGAAAGACCAAAATTTAAATCAGTAAGAGATTTCTTTGGAGAAGACGAAGCTGTTTATATAATGGATGCTAAGACAACTGGAAATATCGGACGTTACTTGAATGTAAGATAAATTTTAATTGAAACCCTTTAAATAGCCGAAATGCTTCAAAAAGGATTTGATATTTTTATTAACTTTTAATATAATTTTCCAGCATTCGTGTGATCCAAATGTTTTTGTGCAAAATGTATTTGTAGACACACACGATGTAAGATTTCCATGGGTAGCATTTTTTGCTTTAAATTACATAAGAGCAGGTCAGGAATTAACATGGAATTACAGTTACGATGTTGGAAGTATACCTGGTAAAGTTATCATATGTAAATGTGGTGCATCTAATTGTAGAGGTCGACTTTTATAATATATAAGATTTATAACGCAATTAATAAAATTTTATTAATAAACGTGACTTGATTTTTTTTCATAATATATAATATAGATTATAATTACAAATTATATAAAATGTATGCAATAAAATACTTTTCTTATTATTAAAAGTTATTTTTAACCTGATTTAATGATTTTTTAATTTTGTATTTATTATATTTATTGAAATATTACAAGTTACTTTACAAAATAAAGTAGACTTAGGAAATCTAAAAATCAACTGTACTGCATTTTACAAATATAGTACTTTGACCTAAAATGTTATTATAATGCACTTTATATAAATATGAAGAAAATAAGACTTTAGCAAAAATATATATTTATAACTGCATATTATAACAATCTATATTTTTAATTGACATTTGATAAATAAATTTTGCTATATAAGAAGTCTTTTAATAATAACATATGTGTGTGTCTTTTCTATTAATATACTGTAAGTGATAATGAGCAATAAATAAATGATAAATGTAGGTTTAATAAAATACAACGATATACATAACAATGATGCACTGGCTTATTATTTTTGATTATTATACACCTTTTATTGAAACTTCTTAAGACATGTTAGATAGTTAGTACCATAAAGATAGCTTTTCAATTTTCTCTTCTATAATTTATATATATTAATCTCAAAACTGAATTAAATTATGTAGTATATCTCAATTCAAGCATTCATTTTAATATATATTATAACCTCTCATCACATAAAGCTGTTTTAATAGGTAGTTCTAAAAAAATGTATAAAAAAAATTTATAACATTTGTAAATTAATAACAAATATTAAAACATGATGCTATTTCTTACAAATGTATCAAAATATCTTTTACTACATAATGTTACATATTTTAAAAATAAATTTATTTCTATTGTTAGTTTGCAAAATAATCTGTATGATATACTATTTTAAAGCTGAAACTATATGTAGTTCAAATCTCTAAGAGTAACCATATAAAATAATATGAGTTCATGATTATATGCTCCAGATGTGCAATATATTATTATAGAACTACATTTGTGTACCTATATCTTTTTTTTTAATTTTAATTTAAAAAGTGCATAAATATGATAGCCTAGTCATATGTAAAAGATTAAGACAAAGCAATAGTGATACTTCTATGAGGAACATTAAAATACTAAAAACTAAACACTAAAACACTAAAATACTAAAACAACAAAATTATTGCTTGATGATTTGTTTGACTTCTGTTAGTAAAGTTTAAGCAATTCTTTGATCTCATTTTTTTCAGCAGCCTCGAAATAACTTATTCCGTGTGGTGTTAATCCATCTGGTTTAGCTCCTTTTTCTAGCAGTAATTTTACGCAAATTACATGCCCTTCCCAAATTGCTGCTAATAATGTTGTTATTCCATGTTTATCTATAGCCTGTAAGTGAATAAATTTTTATGATTTCTCTAATTCATTTCTTACATCAAAAAGTACAACCAATAGATTATCGTATATAATGCATAATAAAAAAAAAGATAAATTTTTTTTTTAGTACTTTTATGTTTGTGAGGCTTTCATATTGTTTAATATTTATAATATATTTACATTTGCATCTGCACCCTTTTCCAAAAGGTATCTAACTACTGCACTTTGGCCATAATCAGCTGCATAATGCAGGGGTGTCCTTCCGTCAATCATTTCATTAATTTCAATATTCTACAAATAGAAATGTATTCAGACAATTTATTATGTGTTCATTTCTAGAAGACGAAATATGAATGTGAAAAAGAAATATAAATGATTTTTACAATCAGTTGACAAGAATATTTTCGTATATTCAAATTTCGAGCTACATACAATTCTATGAATTTAATACCAAATTCCAAAAGCAATATTTTTTTATATATGACGTTTCCGATTAGCGGCAATTAAAGAAGCAACAGAAGAAAAAGATAATTTAATGTTTCGTATACTTGCCTCGTTCTCAACGATAGCCCGCACTTGCTCCAAATCACCATTTTTTATTGCCCATACGAGTTCACTCATTTTCGTAAGCTATTAGAAAAATTTTATATGTAACACACGCAACCTTCCAAATCTTCACATTCACTCTAATCAGTTCACGTTCGTACTGACGTCCATTAAATTTGGTTAAACAGCGAATTTGCTGGAACAATTTTTCCAGGCTGCCAACATGTATAACAATAAAATGAAATCTTCCATAGTACCAACATCAAAGATGATATAATAAAATGATGATTTCTTGCGACGTGCTTTTTAATTAACTAACTGATTCTTATATTACAGCTACAAGATATTAAAAATAAGTAACTACTGCTCAACTTTCAATTTATATCTATGCATCGGATCCTCTCCAAGCGATTGTGCTCCAAGACAGAATTTTTAGATTCTTTGATATTTCAAGACTTTTACTTCTTCGCTTTTAATGTAAGTGTAGTAAATTTATCGTATGTAACTTTAATTTTATTTTTAATGTTCCTTCGATTGAAATTCGAATACATAATTTCGTAATAAAGATTTTTAATAGCACTCGGTAAAGCACTTCTATTTTTGAACAATCAATGTATTTATTCGCTGCTGGAATAGTAAAAGTACATACAGGGTAAAGAGCACACATATAGAATTGAATTAAATATATATTAATTTAATCACATATTATTACAGTCACACGTGTCTTTGCATTACATACGCAGAACTTTCTACTTTTGGAGGAAGAGAGAGAAAAAAAAAAATTAATTTTCTATGTGAAGATTACTGTTTGCAAAATGGAATAACAAAACGGGTGTAGGAGGAGTATCTAAATCTCGGTTTCCGGGACTAGGAGAGACTTAATATTTTCGTATAGTGAGCCGAGACTGAAGAGACTTAATATTTTCGTATAGATATTACTTAGATATATACGTATAATTCATTTATGCGATGTTTTGCAATTTTGTAGCAAGCTCGAATAAGTCTTGAATTATATACAACGTAATTTTAGTTTTTGCATTAAGTTGAGATTGTGTTGAAAAGTAACAGGATGTTGCAGTGTACGACCATCTTGTGATGAAACAGTAGGTGTCGATGTGCGACGTTCAAAGTAATATTTCTTTTGTTCTGTGTAAAAGCATTGTTGTTTTTCTTTTAGACGAATGCTTTACTTTTATCTGTTTCAGCTATTGAAATCATTGTTCCTACTATAAACGGATCTACGATTTTTAATCGACCGTTTAATCTAGCTTGCAAAGGTCATGGTCTGTATATTTCTTTTTCTTTTTTTTCTTTTTTCTTTTTTTTTTAATATCTCCCTTTCATTTTAGAATTTAAGCCTTCGTTGGTGCCTCTTCCGGGGTTTTCTCGGTTTCTACGATTTCCGTAGGCGGCGGCAAAGTTGGAATTTCCGGATATTCGAGTTTTGCTCCTCCTTCGCATTCGAAGATGGGACAACAGTCCGGGAACGGGGCGGTCTTGTTAGTTTTGTCCGACAGTTTGCATTTCGGATTAGCTTTCGGCAGCGGTCCACAGTCCTCGACAAGTTCAAAAAGACGCCCGGAATTATCATCGGCTGGCACACAAGTGGAACGACCGCAGAATGGCGTCAAGTCCCAGGATTTCGTTGGTTCGATTGTGGCGCATCTTGTTGAAGCGAAGCACATACCGGGGAAATCTACAAAAGAATTAAATTAAGACTGTATAAATTTACGCTTAAATCTCGAAATTCTCACCGAGATATAATTATTATAACATGCGCATAAAATTAAGTTATTTTAATTTAACGTAGTTTGTGATAACTCAGAGGTGGGGATAGCTCAGTTGATAGAGCATCAGACTCTTAATCTGAGGGTCCAAGGTTCGAGCTCCTGTTCGGGCAAAAAAAAAAAAGACATTGTCTTTTAGGACAACAGCACGGAAGAGCTCTGTGTATAAAAGGTCCCGGAGCTCTTCCAACGTGCGGAGAACACACGGCCATCGTGGAGGTTTTAGTCGGTAAAAATCCGACACTACTTGGGGTCTTCCCTTAAAAGACTCTCAGGTGTCTTATGAAGTCATTTTTCTCCACGTAAAAAAAAAAGTTTGTGATAACTTAAAAGTGTTACTATAGATAAGTAATTAGAGAATATAGTTACTATAGATAAGTAATTAGAGAAGAATAATCAGATATCATAAGACATTGGATAATTGCCATTTTCGCGAAATGCAAGTTTTTGAATTATATAAAATACATTACATAAAAAGATATCGGATTGATATTAATTAGAACACTAGATTATGTAACGGGATAATCTTGTAAATAATACAATATAATACGTGGTAGCCTTTCTATTGCGGAGAAAGGAGTTACTATCGCTTAATGTTGCTTTTTACCAGGAATAACAGGAATCTTCCGGAAAGTCTTGAGAATTTAAAATCAGATCTTTTAGCAAATAAGAAGCAGGAAACGATTAACTTTCATAAAAAAAAATGAATGTTCTTATCAAATATCAAATTAGTTCCATAATTCCTTAAAAAAGAAAAAAAAATAATATATAATATTCAACATCAAATTTGTCTATGTAACAAGCAAAATTCTGGATGTATCCTGGATGAATTATTCATTTAGTTTTCTAGATGAATCATTCGAGAATTTTCACCAATTATGATGTAAAAAGTAAAATTTCATGCTACATGAACTATTTATATAGTATGAGTCTTTAACAGAATGTGTCAATCCTATATATTATATGATTGCACACATGTAAAAGATAGCGTTATTTTTTTAACATAAAATCATTTTTATGAATGTCTCGTTAAATCCTGTAAATCTATACAAGCACATTCATGCATAGTATTTTCATTACAATGTGTTTCGACGGATTGTATATATTGTTAGATAACAGAGAAGTTTCATTGGTAACGATTCGGCTAGAAACTTCAAGGAGAAACACTTTCACTGTCACACTATGTTACTGCTTGTATAATTATCGTAAACTCAATAAGACGATTGCTAAACTTCGTTTTTTCTCTCTTTCTTATTTTAGAGTTTCCTGAATTTAACAAGGAAAATGAGTCGCTTGAAATAATTAGAAGATGATCTGATGGAAAGATTTCTATCAGTTGGGAAGATAACATGATATATGAAAATTTTAACATATAAGTTGAACGATTAGGATAATTGTAATGATCTAATAATTTAGAAATTGTTTAAATATCTGCTACAGGTAAAATACAAATTAATATATTTGTACATGATAATGTATAAATGAGTTTCAAAACATAGATGAAGAAGGAGGAGAATGTCGCATGTTACTTTCTGTTTATCCGAATAATGACGTGTCTGTTACTGTTTTCTCAATGCCAGTTTCATTATGTCGCAGGCTTAAAACGATGGGCCAACGCTAAAAGTATCATGGACACCTGGATTATAAGAAAAATGGTTCGAGATTTTTTATTCCAAATTCAATTCGAGATCGATAAAACGTTCTCGCCTAATATCGGTGAAATACAGATATTGAAAATTTCTCGTCTTTATCTAGAAAATTAATTAACTTTGGCAAGATTATAATCACACAACGAAGCAACATTATCGTATAACTAAAATATAAGAGTATCTTAACTTGACTCGATTGATAATAATTAATGTAGAATTTAGAATCATCGATGATTCAACGTGATGAATCAATCTGTGAATTTGAACATGTATGTCACATGTATATTGTGAAACCAAAGTAAGTATAAGTGAACAGTTTCACTTTCCTTTCTACATCGAACATACTTGGTATAAAAAAAAAAAAAAAATTCTATCGAATGTGATGTACACATAATTGATAGATTCAAGAGTGCCGTTTATATATGCCAACTGAGAAAATTCTCGAAAGGAGAAAGGGATGATGAAGTTTATTTCATGGTTCGCTGTGTAATTTTCTTAATAAGATAGAAATCATCGAAGATGAAGGAAACCTTATCTGATAAAAGACAACAATTACGACCGATAAAACGATTCAACTCGCAATTTTTTATTATCATTATCGGGTTACGTTAGTATATTTGTCTGAAAGTAGTTATAACATAAAACCATGACAAAAATTAATTTGTAATCTTCACAGAAGGATCGCTGTTCCCATCGTTTCCGAAGCGAGTCATTTAAGAAAACGACGTGAAGAATGATTTATAGTGGACATTTTTAGACTTTCACCGACATTAAGATTCACTTGCCTCTGCAACAGAGTCGACTTTCATACTTGTGGGTGTAATATTACATCTACTTTGTTTCTTTCACCTACGGGTCAGCTACGCTTCCGCCTGTTCAATTTTTTTCATGGCTTGTGGATCATCAGTGATCCATGATATTGAAATAGAATTATCATTGAATAGATAAAGATGTTCTCTGCTATATTTAAGTGAAACAAGTGCGTGAAAAGATCAATGTGTCAGATATTGTATTAAAATATTTAGTTAGAGAACCATTTAGTATTGAGATCTCTAATCAGTTAACTATCCTTCGTTTCGAAATGAGTTTTTTAAAAAATTGTATTTACTGATTGTTTAAAATTAAGCACGTTTCTCTAAGCTCATAATACAACACACAGTCTCACATTTCGCTTATTGCTTTCAATAATATTAATTAAGTAGAAGCTTGAGGTAGAGATAATCATACCTCCTGCCATTTACATGTCAGATTAATAAACCTATGGTCTGCCTATGTATGGTTTTCAATAAACGTGCGATATTCTCAGTCAGTGATGCATATCCTGTTTAGAAAATTAGTCAGCTTGGTTACAGAATTGTCGAATTGCACGCTGCGGAAATAATTGAAGAGCAACGAAAGCCTCGAAGCTAAAGGGAACAACGAAGTATAGTCAGCTTCTTTCTTTACGAAATTTTCATTCGGGCCTGGCTCTCCGTCGCCGATGACCCAACCCAGAACCTACTTTCTGTAATCATCCTGTTTCAAAACGGGTACACCCGAACCGATGCTCGTGACTGTGAAACTTGACTTCACGTGTGAACACGTGGCAACCGCGCTTAAATGGTTCTGTTTTTTTTTTTTTTT